TGCAATATAACAAAGAGTGAAAAATTTAAGGGGGTCTGAATACTTTCCGTACCCACTGTATACTACTAGTCCAAGATATATTTTGGACTAGTCTAGTTCCGATTCTTGTCTAATCTGAAATTAAACGAAAATTACAGTTAAGTAAACCAGTTTAGCGAGCTGGAGTCCTGGACCTGACGTAACTCTGTTTGCCATGCGCGTATCAACACGGATATGTTTTATATTTAGACATCTGCTCCAGATGATTTAATAGTGACTGTACTTGCAGTAACAGCCGCGAGCTGTTACTTGCGCTCTAGATTTGCGCAGTTTTTGCCTCGCTTGTGAAATATACCCACGCCTGAAAGGAAGGACACACGTTTGAGGAAATAATCGGATGGTGCATTTTGCAGAAAGGGCAGGAGGAATGACTTCCTCAAATAGGATGGTAACGCGTGTCTTTGGAGACACAGCGCGCGCGGTGCGCCTCAAGTTTGTCTGACTTTCTGCACTGAATACACAAATCGTATCGTGTAATTGCATAACCGCTGGCGCAAACGAGATAAATCTGGACCACATTGTAATATGTAGTGATGCGCGCTGCTTTAATGAATCGCAAGACGCTGGACGTCACAGCCACGTACCTCGCCGTGCCACAGGTGCGCACTAAACTTTGGTTATTCATTATTGATTAACGGCGGAAAGAAAAGGAGGAACGCGCTGAGGGACAAAACAATTACTCGCACTATGGAGATCATGTCCAATCAACCTACAGCAGAGGCGGGTGGCGACCACACCGCTGCGGCTTCCATGTCTGCAGGCGTGGAGAGGGCTGATGTGACCAGCCCGAGTCCGGTGACCAAACAGAGGTCCCTACGGGCGGTTTATGTGCTGAATGATGGACTGAAGGCAGTGGCCGCGAACAGCCCGGAGTCCGGGGCGCTCCAGTGTCTCCAACGCGCCTGCGACGCGGAAAGTGCCATATTAACCACAGTAACTTTCGGACGATTAGATTTTGGGGAGACAACAGTGCTTGATACATTTTATGACGCAGGTAAGTTAACACTAGTAAGTACGCGAGAATAATTCCTGCAGCCCCTCAATACTACATTCTGGATGTCTCCCTAAACTGGCACTCTCAGTACAGGTCAAGTACAGGTCATCTAGTTTTTCAGAATGGACTGATTGAAGTTGAATCAGGTGTGTTGGATTAAGGAAACATCCAAAATGAGTAGTTTTGGGGGGCCTCCAGATCAGGGTTTCCAAAAAGCAGCCAGTTCTGCAGGATGTAGAAGAATAGAAACTCATTGGCACATACCATTATAGATTTAGAGCTTGAGTGTGTTATTGAATTAATAATACTTAATAATACTTTATTGTTTCTTCCATATGCAAGAAATGTAAATAATAGTGAACAAATGTAAATTAAAATGAAATGTAAATGAAGAGTAAATAGTATTATCATGCAAAAAAAGTGTGTGTGTGTGTGTATAAAATCATACATTTTTAAAAACTATAAATGAAAGATCAAAAACAAGAAGAAGCAACAATATATATATATATATATATATATATATATAATGCATTATACAAAAGTACATTATACAAAATGCTTTAAATAGATAGTATAGTACTTCAGAAAACAAATATGTTTATCTAAACATACTTATGCAAGATGTAAATTGTTAGGGTTAGGGGTCATCGGCCTTTCCCATGGAAGGGTGTTATTGGAGTCATGACAATCTCTGCCTCCAGCACATTCCTTTCCTGGAATTTACTCGCCAGGTCCAGTATGAAGTCTCTCTCTCGCGGGTGTGGCTGCACACGTTACTGTGGGTGATCAAAACACTCTTACATCTGAGCTTTGGGAGGGTGAAAAGGGCAACTTTTTAAAAGTTTGACCCTGTGTATTTTTGTGCATGCAGAATGTAGCTCACGTGCAGCACTTTTTCTGGGGAAAGAACTCTAGAGGACCATAAAAAGTGCATTTTAGAGCTGAAACTTTGTATCCCTGTTTTTAAAAACAGAAGTGAACAAAACAGTTTTAAATATCCTCCCTATATAGCATTCTACAGATCAATTTCTTGTAATTGTATCACCCCCATCACCCTTTTCCTAATAAGACTGAGTCATGCATCAGCTCCTGGTTGGTTACATCAAGTCTGGTCTTGTATTTTGCTGCTTACACTGTTGCATGGCTTTCAAACACATTTTCAGATGTTTGCATAGTTTCCATTGAATAAGCAGAGATTGTGTTTGACTGGAAAAGAACAAATATAGCCATATGCAGTAGAACAAATATGCCCTTAGGACTACTTTAAACAGACAAATGGTCATTTAAAGATTTTATAGTGTGTGATTTAATGGAAAGTTATAATAAACAAAAAACACTCATAGAATTGAAAATAAATGTTTGCTTCTTAAAGAACAGGCACTGAGACTTATGCTACAGCGCACACTGTACTGTACTGTTCTGCAGTAGTCGGATTGTGTACTGTATGGTCTTCTCGCATGCTTACTGTCTCTGATTGATTTCAGACATTGCAGTTGTGGACATGAGCGATGTGTTCAGACAGCCCTCCCTGTTTTATCACCTCGGTGTGCGTGAGAGCTTTGACATGGCCAACAATGTCATCCTCTACCATGACACGGACCTTGACACTGCACAGTCGCTTAAGGTGAGAGTTACAGTCTAATACACACACATAAACACAGATATGTTTACCTAGCTATCTAAAGAAGGACATATCATATAGACTTCTATTGTTTTTAAAGGGGGTTTGTGTCATTTTCAGATGTTCAGTGGTTTTAAGAAGGCCGTTTGTAGGTTGACTTCTCCAAAAAAGTAAATAGCTCTTTGTCACTTTTTTTTTTTTTTTGAGAGGCCAACAAAGTAATATTGATTTAATCAATAGTGTGAGCTTGAGGCAGGACTGCCTGTTTGTCAGTGAAAGATGAGGAGTGTGTTTGGGAAAGGGAAACCTGTTTGGTAATAATACTACTTTTGCAGTTCTGTTTAGTGCTGCTAATAAAAGTACAAAATTAGTGCTGTACATTTAAATAAAGATAAGAATAAATAAGAATAAAAAAGTAACTTTCCCCTTTAAAGACATCCACAAAAAAGAGGCTTTGTCTCATTTAGCTAATTTCTAGAAAAAAATCATCTTTTTATTCATATAAAATAAATAAATAGTTACTTTCCCTTTTAAAGACATCTACAAAAAGAGGATTTGTCTAATTTAACTAATTCCTAGACAAAAAATATATTTTATTCATTTAAAATAAAATAAAAATTACTTAAATATTTTTCTCCTTTAAAGACATATAAGAAGCTTTGTCTAATTTGTCTTATTATTGTCTTATTCAGCATATTTCTAGAAACAAATCATCTTTTTATTTGTTTAAAATGCCCCTTTAAAGATGTCAATAAAAAGACACTTTGTCTTATTTGGCATTTTTCTGGGGTATTTAAAAAAAAAAAATCTAATAGAGCTTATGAATTACATATTCTTCTCATAACTTTTTCTAAGTGCCACCACACAAACACTAGGAAGGATTGTTGGGAGGTTATACCTTCAGGCCTAAAGGCTGTTACACTCACATTTGGGATTTTTGTCATCTGAACAAAGAGGTGGCCCACTACCAGGTCCTGACCTGCTATTCTCAGCTTAGGAAGGGGTTTATCTTTTCTGGGCACTGGACAGTAGAGCTGCCAGAACAACACAGTCTGTATTCGAGCTAAGGCATGCAGTCAGTCCACACGTTTCCACAGAGACATCGGAAGGCATGTGTTCTAGCATACTGAGATGATAACAATCACGGATGGGGAGAAGTGTCATGCGATCTGTTTGTGTATTTGTTCATGTTCTGTGATGCTGCTGTGTTTCAGTCAGGGTTCATTCACTGCATCACACGGCCATCAGTCATGGAATAAAATTTAAATAAATGGCATGATGGCAAAACGTTCCCAGGTGCTGTGGACATGTGAAATAAAGTAATATACATGCATTTTTGGAGAGTTGTTTTGTAATTTTTTCTTTTATTTTTTTCTTGCATAGGACATGGTGGCACAGAAAAACACAGTGAGTATCAAAACACTCTTTGCAAGTCTGGTAATCTGATGAGGTTTGTGGACAGGCTGGCATTCATTGTTGGTGTGCCAAGAGCTTTGTGTATGGGACTATTTTTGGAGCTCTTATGACATACGTGTACTTGCTCTTCTGTGTCAGTGTATATCCAGGACTTTACACAGTGAGCAGATCATTTCCTGAACTCTTCTTTATGGACATACACTAATCTGTGAGTGGACACGAGGTTCTGGTGGCTCATTGTGTCCCAGTAGGAAGACTATTGCTGATTCAGATGAACTCATAAGGGCTCTCAAGGTGTCATGGCACTTGTGTGTTTGTGGGTGTTGGTGGTTTTGATAAAGGAGAGTGTCGTTGAGTGCAAGTCTTTAAATAAACCTCTAATATTGAATGGCTGCTGAGAAGAAGCTGACCTTGACAGCATTTAATAACTGTGTTACATTGTATAACATTTATAAATATGATTCATTGAAATGGCCCAGAAACAAGCAAAAGATGGATCTGTGTTAACTTCTTATCATTAGTTATGTGAACAGAAGGGAAATTCTGTGTTTGCCCTTATTCTACATTTTCAGCCTTAGAGTGCCCCATTATGCCTTTCATGCAGTGTGTAATGTAGCTGTGTGAGAATGTAAGTGATCTGCAAAGTTGTAAAGCCGAAAGTGCACGATAAATAAAGTTATTGTCTCCCAAAAGAAAGAATCGACAGGCAAAATGAGTCATCAATAATTTGAATCCCACTTCCGTGACGGCTACACATCACGGGGTAACACATTCGCATAATGCCCTCCTATGTTCTACATTGGCCAGCCGCGAACAACTTGCCCCCGCCCTTAAACACTGTAGCTTCGTGTGGTAAACATCATGTCAAGAAGATGCGCTGTCCTACGCTGTGAAAGTTGTATTTTCACTTCTGAAAGATGAGGCTGCAAGAGTCAGTGGTTAAAATGTATTTTTTCACTGTACCACAGCTGTACAGCCTCAATCTTTTTTGTGTTCCCGTCATTTTACTGACGACTGCTTCTCTAATCTCGGGGAGTTTAACGCAGGATTCACAAAACGCATGCTCTTGAAAGATGGTTCAGTACACAGTTTATTTGGAGCAGCTGGCTCCACTGAATCCCAACCTGTAAGTATGATAAATAATGGATGTTTATATTTTCTATTGAGTGATCAAAATACAGAAGTATGGCAATGGGCGTATCGTTTCCGACACGTGCTGTATGCGGTAGAGCAATCACAACTGACTGAGCCATTTGACCAATCAGAGCAAGCTTATGAAAAGGAGGGGTTTAGAGAGACTGAATCTTAGAACTGCTTTTTGAACGTTTAAGAATCGTTGGAAAATGAGGTGGTATTAAATGCATATTTTGAGAAAACAACATTTTTTTTTTTTTTTACCTTGCATGCATGTAAACCTATTGTTGGAGACTCCCAAAACAATATTAGGAACCTTAAAAATGGCAAAATAGGGGCACTTTAAGGAATAGTTTACCCAAAAATTCTGTCATTGTTCACTCAATCTCATATTCCAAACTCGATACAACTTTCTTTGTTCTGCGGGTCACTGTTTTTCGTGCAGTTACAATGGGTATTGAATATTTTAAGAGCTTCAAAAAGCATGCAAAAGAACCATTTAGCACTATTTCCAACGTCTTCTGGCATCATATGATAGCTTTGTGTGAGGAACAGGGTAAAATTTAATTCTGTATCTGTGATAATATAAACTTCTAATGAGCTGTTGACCACTGTCAGTTTATGAGTGATCCATTCAGACCAATGAATCAACCATTCATTCCATGAATCAAGATTTGACTCAAAAGAATGATTCTTTTAGGAATCGCTACTTCTCTCATGAACACCAAGGAAAACTAGGGCGAATGTCAAGGATTTCAGTGAAATATTATTAATTATTGCTTAAATATATGTTTGTTCCACACACCAATGTGGTTTAGTAGTATTTACATACTATAGTAATTATTAATTATTTTATTTCACTTGAAGTTTTAGTAATTGTTATATGCTTTTGTTATTTTAAATAATTTTTGTTTTAGAAATTTTAGTTACAGTTTGTTGACAATGCAATTTTTCTAATTTTGTTTGTTTAATTTTTTTCATGTAATATTTATTTTTTATCTGCTTTATTTCAATACTTTATTTTTTTTTTTGATACCTTCAAGATTTTTGCATCTCCTTGGCTTACTCATTCATCTGTAATTTCTTGTTTCCATTAATACTCTATAGTCTGTATATTCTTTATCTGTCATTCTCTTTTTCTCTTTTCCTTTCAGTTCCCTTCACTGTTTGCTCTCCTTTTCTTTCTTTCTCTCTTTTTTTGTCTGTTACCTGGAGTAGGCTGCAAGGCGAGTTAAAATAGGATTCCCATGGGTCCAGTTGCCTCCCGAGTATAGGGGCTCCGGCCTAAGAAACAAAGTAGGTGCTGTGAGCATTCTAGTGCATGCTGGGAAAATCCCATATGCATGAATCAGAATGAGAGGGACCAATGATGTCTGTTACTATCTGACTCACTTTCTTTCAGTCTGGCTGACATGTCAAGGAATTAAGAGCTCTGAATCAAAGTCAGTGAGTTATTTATTGCTGAGAAACTTGGTTACTTTTAAATGATTAATCATTACTCTTAAGTGGATCCAAAGACTTTAGGTGCCTGCATAACAAAATCACAGATTTCTATAATATGTACAGCTGATTTTTGTAGGATTCTGCACATCCTCTATATGTATATGTAAAATAACAGTAAAGAAATAAAATACTGTATATACTTCATACATATATTTAAATTTTTTAAACAGTTTTTTTTTTCTTTTTTGGACCACTTAGCAGCCTCTGGTTGCCCCTTGGACCCCCGTTTGAAAACCATCATGCTTTAGCTGAGAGTCTAAGGATTTGCTCAGTATTTATTATTAGACCACATGCCTGACAATTTAAATAGTCTTAAAGTGTATGATGACTGTTTGACTTGAGAGGCTTGGATTTAGGTGACCCCTTACATTTGAGGTGTTGATGTGGCAGAATGCTAAGATGTGCTTTGGCCCCCTCCTCCGTTTTGCTCTGGAATTCTAGGACAGTACACGATCACAAAGGTGTTAACAAGATTTCCTCTGCGCTTCGAATTTCTTGGCTGCCAGCTACTGAGTACATGATCACTAACACACAGACAGTCTGTACTTTTACACAGTGTTGCATACAGTCATGAATTATATGACATGACTAAGAATAGGTCTATATTACATTTTTAATGCACAAATTTAGAATTTGTTTATCTTTTTTAGGCCTCCAGCGGGAACTACTATTTCATCCCCTACTTGATGATGCCCAACAACGAGTACTTGTGCTGTGAGAACGTGGCCCAGCGTAGAGCATCGGAGTACATGCAACCCAACTGGGACAACCTTCTTGGACCTCTGTGCGTCCCATTGGTTGACCGCTTCGTCAGCTTGCTCAAAGACATTCATGTCACGTCTTGGTAAGTTTTGGCAGGATGCCCATTTCAGATGATCCTTTACAGAGTTACGTAATGGTGTCACATTTAGCTAAACATAAATCAAGCAATCGTCTTCCAATTTGTGACTGATAAACAATATTACATGAATAATTATTATAAATTACTTTTTTACATAACAAAAACAATTCAATTTGCGGTGGAATTCTGTGTCTTGTGTTCAACATTGCATCATGGATCTAAATTAGCTGTCAAATGATCCTCAAGAAACACATCTTCTTGTCCCTGGTGTGAAGAAATGGGACTCAACCCAAATTGGATGTAGCGCTCATATTATATCTTCAAGACAGACATGCACATGTGCATGCAAGATTTATTAGGAACTCTATAGCTTCTAAAAAGTGTCGGGGTGTCCTTTCACCTGGAGCTCAGATATCAGAAGTCTAGAACATCCCTGCAGATCGTAGTGCCAAGATTTTCACATCCTGTGTAGCCAGATTTGGACTATTAGTATGACGTCTGACCCACTTTGCAGCTGTCCAAGAACATATGAAGTGACCAACCACAATTCATTTTGTTGCTGCATGATGTTTAAATGCATCGGATGGTCAGTGCATTTCGGTGGTCTGTGAGCGTCCCATCTGAAGGTGAGAGTACGTATGAATTTATCCGTGAAAACTAAATCCCATTCTATCTTCTGTTGTATCTTCTTTCTCCCTGACAGTGCTTCATACAAAGACACCCTACTGAACGACATCCGAAAAGCTCGAGATAAATACCAGGGTGAGGAGCTGGCCAAGGAGCTTTCCCGTATCAAACTCCGCATCGACAACACTGAGGTTTTGACTCAGGACATTGTTATGAACCTGCTTTTCTCCTACAGAGATATACAGGTATATAGTATAAACCAAGCACATCTAAACATTAAAAAACTTTACTGGTAGTTTTAATGGTCTTTGGTGTGTGTTTTCAGGACTATGATGCTATGGTTAAATTGGTACAGACCATTGAGATGTTGCCCACCTGTGACTTGGCCAACCAGCCCATGATTCAGTTCCACTATGCTTTTGCGCTCAATAGGTGACCACAAATCTGCATTGTGTGGTATATTCTCCTATTCATATGCTTGGCAAACAGACATTTATCTTTTACAGCCCTTTGATCTCAGGAACAAATGCATTTCTGTTTGCGTGTGTGCGAAAACAGGCGAAATAGCCCTGGAGATCGAGAGCAGGCATTGCGTGTGATGTTGCAGGTTCTTCAGTCATGTGATCACCCCGCACCTGACATGTTCTGCTTGTGTGGCCGCATCTATAAGGACATCTTCCTCGACTCTGACTGCAAGGACACCAAGAACAGGGACAACGCCATCCAGTGGTGAGTGAGTTAAATGAGCTTGAAGTGCACTGTTTCAGTGTAACAGTGATTTGTTTTTGTTTGTTTTTTATGAATGAATCCCTTGTATTGGGCTCTGTTGACTTGAACCAGAAACAAGAAGCTGCATTAAATGTGATTGAAAACACCCTAGCAACCACATTAAATGCACTAAAAACATCCAGTAACTGCATCAAATGTGTGAAAAACACCCAAGTAGTCACATTATATATACTAAAAAACCAGAATACCCTAGCATCTACTTTAAATGCACTATAAACACCCAGAACACCCTGGCAACAACATTTAAATGTGTTAAAAACACTCAGAACACACCAGAAGCTGCAATGAATGTACTAAAATCACTCGAAATGTCCTAGCAGCCACATTAAATATGCTGAAACACCCAAAACAACCAAGCAGTTGCAATAAATTCAACAAAGTCACCTAGAACAGGGGTTCCCAATTTTTTCCATTCCACGACCCACCTAAACAAGTATAATTTATTTTAAGACCCACCAAAATATTTTTGGGATTAGAAAACAATTGACATTGCTGTAAATTGAATCTAAAGTTTGATATGACAGAAATGGAGTATTTAAGAAAAATAATCATCAACTGTAAAATTTCACTACTAATATTTACGTTTGAATTTCTTAATTTGCAGACGTTAAAGAGTATATGAAATATGTCCATAAAAACTTGAAACATGCTCACTCCAGTGCCGATATGAAGTATAATTCTGTAACACATTAAAAGCTCTCATGCTCCTTCCATGTAGGGGAGAGCGGAGCGCAACAAAACACTTTTTAACCTTCTCAGTTTGTGTAAATCCACATGGGGTTCAGAGTGCAATTTTTTCACATTAATTTCACACGTCTAGTACAAATATGAGGTTTTGTTTCATAACTACAGTGTATACTTTTTTCTTTATTTACCCCAAAAGAATGGAAGTGAAATGTGACAACATGCCCCATAGGTGGGGCACACTGTAACATCTGAGGGGCATGTTGTAACATGACCATATGACAGCTTAAAATCTTATCTGATCTAATGAAAAAGGAAAACACAGAGGAAAGCATTCCTGAATGAACACAATCCTCTCCTCCCTGCACACAGCTCTCACAGAACAGGAGACAAATAGATGAGCTAAAATGCTTTACATTTCTTGAAATATTAATTTCTGAACAATGAACATTACTCTGTCATTATTCACGTTTCTCATTAAAATTCATGAAAGCATTTAATGTAAATTACACTGCTAATGTCATAGAATAGCACAGATCTAATACTAGCGTGACACATTGTAACGCAGTGTTGCAACATTTCCCATCTGCGAAACTGGAATTTAAAACTGGTTAGTATCTTACGCTAGTTAGATTGCAGATTAAAATAATAGCAGATTTGTCTCGTTTTAAATAGACACTAAAAATTGAGATGAAAATTTTACTTCTACCAGAAATGTACTTTTGCTGTGGTTAAATAAATGTTCATGGATGTTTTCAAAAGATTTTTATATTTTGTCACAATTTTTTTTATATATATTGTTGATATGGCAACTAGTCAATTCCATAAGTTTTGTAATGCTATCATGTGTGGAAATGTTTAAAATCATGTGTGTTACAAATAACCGCGTTAGTCTGTGCCCCGCTCACCCCCTACATGTGAAATGCTTTTTACAGACAGTTTCCTTGTGTTGGTAGGCAACCAAATGCATACGAAGGAACAAAAACAACAAACTCTTTATATCTCTCTAAAAGACAACAGAACCGAGTTGAACAGATGACAGAGATGAATGAACAGACCTGAAACAGCCTTTCGTAATGTTTGAATTTTCCTGTGTAATGCAATCTCATGCAGAATACAGTGCAGTGATTGGAGTGAGTGAGTTTCTTCTCTTTAATAATGCGGACCGAACCACTTAATGATGAACCAAGTCACTCTAAGACCCTCAGTGTTATTACAACTCGTGTGTGCGTGCTTCAAAACACGCAGCGCATGTTTATTAATTAAATGGTGGTCACTAAGTAATATTGCAATTTCTATTTAATGTTGGTATATTGTGCAGCCCTAGACTAAACTGCTTGTGTGTGTGTGTGTGTGTGTGTGTGTGTGTGTGTGTGTCATTCAAACACAAATTTAGCTGCAGCCAAGTGACTTTGTGCGACCCACCTTTTCCCACTCCAGGACCCACAGTTTGAAAACCCCTGACTTAGAACACTCTAGCAGCTGCATTAAATGTATTAAAATCACCCAGAACACCCTAGCAGCCATATTACATGTATTAAGAACACCTTAAGAACTACTTAAATGTGTTATAATAACACCCAGAACACATTAAAAAAAGTTATTTTGTATTCATGCATGTGTGTTGTAGGTATAGAAAGGGCTTCGAGTTGCAGCCCACTCTCTATTCTGGCATTAATCTGGCAGTGCTGCTTATAGTGTCCGGGCAGCAGTTTGAGACTTCCATAGAACTCAGGAAGATCGGTGAGTTTCCTGTTGCTCTCAGACCATTGACTTCATTAAGGACACAGGTTGCCCCTTCTCACCCTCTCATTCTCTCTCAGGTGTGAGGTTGAACAGTCTGCTCGGACGTAAAGGCAGTCTGGAGAAGATGAATAACTACTGGGACGTGGGGCAGTTCTTTACTGTCAGCATGCTGGCCAATGACATCCCCAAAGCTGTGCAGGCTTCAGAGAAACTCTTCAAACTTAAACCACCCATATGGTACATATAGAATAAACACTGATGACACTGATGCAGGAAATAGGAATTTGAATCTGGCCACATCCTCTCTTCTACTCATGATTTCTTGTTATAGCTCAACTTTTATTGTTAAAATGGCAGCTTAATGCAACTCACATTCATTTCCTCTTTCAGGTACCTGCGATCAGTCGTCCAAAACCTTCAGTTGATTCAGCATTTTAAGAAGCAGAGCACTGAGCATTCTCCTCAAAGAGAGAGACTCAACTTCTGGATGGACATTATTGTGGAGGCCACACAAGGAAGCACCAACGGCCTGCGTTTTCCGGTACTACACCGCCTCACATGTGTGTCTCATCCAGGACCACTCCTGTATTGGCTGAACAGCATTTCATGGACTCATCACTTCTTCTATTATACAGGTGTTGATTCTGGAGCCGACTAAAGTGTACCAGCCCTCGTACGTGTCCATTAACAGTGAAGCTGAAGAGAAGAATGTTTCTATATGGCATGTGTCGCCTGCTGAGACGGTCAGTGGTTTATATGACATCATGTTTGCTGTATAAAGTAATTTTGTGGATATTATATAATTTTCCTAACTGATGTGGTTACAGAAGGGAATACATGAGTGGAACTTCACAGCATCATCCATCAAAGGGATTAGGTGAGAGTGAAATTCTTTTCTGAATGTTGTTTCAAGACAAACAAACAATATTAAAGTAGGAACTAGTTCTACTAGTCTTATCTGGCAAAATCATCAACTTGTATCAACATTACTGGTATCATGTTGGTCGACATTGTATATTTAATTGTGCTCATTCTCCTCTTTTTGCATTTAGATTCATGCTTACTTCAGTGTTGTTACTGTTCATTAAAACTAAAACTTTTAACAATCATTTTCATTCATTAAAATAAATATAAATGAAAATAGAATATACCTATTGCCTTTGCAACTAAGTGAAATAGGATACAAATGAGTTGAAGTACTAAAATTACTAAAACTAACACTGAAATAAAGCTAAATAGAAATATTTTAAAATAAAATGAACAAAAAAGACAAACGCACATTCTAAATTCTAAAAGTTGAAAATACAGTATTACAATAAAAGCTCATTCAAAATTATTAATAAATAATATAATAGTATATAAGTAATACTAAAATAACACTGGCCCACTTAAAGTTAATCTTCCAAACCACTAATAACACTATAATAATATTTATTTTTATATAATTATAAGAGTAATGTTTTTTTTTTATATTTAAAAACATATTCCTAGTGTCCTTTATTCCTTTATAGGTAATATAGTATACAATTTTAATATTGGCTATTAATCAGCCATAACATGAACATGGCAGAATTTTATTATTAGTGCATTCCTAGTCTTTACCTAGATTCATTTTCATAAAGTGTCAAAACTAGCAGATCCAATGCTACTGCTACCGTCTCACACATTGTTTCAGCAGCAATCCTTCCATTTAAATGTGATTTATTCATGATCCCAGAGATGTGAAATAAATCTTGCATTCTTCCACTCTCTAGCATTTCCAAATTCGATGAGCGCTGCTGCTTTTTGTATGTCCATGACAACTCGGACGACTTCCAGATCTACTTCTCCACAGAGGACCAGTGTGGCAGGTTAGTGTTCCTGAAGTTAATCGATTAGGTTTCAAACTCTGCTACTCATGGAGGTTACTGATGCATGGATGGTTGGCTGTCACTTATTTGAAGGTTCTGCTCCATGGTGAAGGAGTTGATCACAGACGGATCAGGGAATGCTGTCGAGCTGGAGGGGGAGGGAGAAGGAGACACCCTGGAGGTGAGAGCTTCAAAAACTCACCTAAAGTTAGTTTTATTTGAATTTGTGAGGTTTTGATACTTAAATCCCGAATCATTCTGCAGTACGAGTACGACTACAATGAGAATGGCGACAGGGTGGTTTTAGGTAGGGGAACTTATGGAGTGGTCTACGCAGGGAGAGACCTGAGTAACCAGGTGCGCATTGCCATCAAAGAGATCCCAGAGAGAGACAGCAGGTGAGATTCTTATGACAATCTGACCAGCAGACCAGCATGAATGTTCACCAGCATACTGAATGTTGTATCAGGCTTCTTACAGGACAGTTTAACCAAAAATGAAAATTCTGTTATAATTTTACTCACTCTCATGTCTGTATGACTTTTTTTCTACTGTGGAACATAAAACAAAAATATATTTTGGAAAATGTCTCAGTTTTTGTTTTTCATACAATAAGTCATTTGGCTACAATGTTGTATGGACACCAACATTCTTCAAAATATATTTTCTTCTGTTCCAGGTTTGGAACAACATGAGAGTGAGAATTACTTTTTGGGTGTTCTGTCCCTTTAAAGCAGCAAAACCATTTGTGACCCTGGACCACAAAACCAGTCTCAAGTCGCTGGGGTATATTTGTAGCAATAGCCAAAAATACATTGTATCATTGTGTCAAAATGATTTATTTTTCTTTTATGCCAAAAATCATTAGGACATTAAGTAAAGATCATGTTCCATGAAGATATTTTGTAAATTTCCTACTGTAAATATATCAAAACTTAATTTTTGATTAGTAATATGCATGGCTAAGAACTTCATTTGGACAACTTTAAAGGCGATTTTCTCAATATTTTGATTTTTTTTGCACCCTCAGATTCCAGATTTTCAAATAGTTGTATCTCGGCCAAATATTGTCCTATCATAACAAACCATACATCAATGGAAAGCTTATTATAAATCTCAATTTCAAAAAATTTACCCTTATGACTGGTTTTGTGGTCCAGGGTCACATTTTACGTTTGTAATGTAATTCTGAGCGAAACAGGATATTCATTCAGGTTGCATGTTCGTCATCTAGCATAAATGAAAAGTTAAGTAAAAAGGATTAAAATTAATAATTTAATAATGCAATAATTTTGGGAATATATATATATATATATACAGTATATATATACTGTAAATACATTTCTAGACCCAAAAACTAGAACAAATGACAAAAGCACATAACAAAATGACTAAAGCTTAAACTAAAATGAAAATGAAAATATAAAAATAAAAGCTAATTCGAATATGGATAAATACTATAATAGTATTTAAATAATACTAAAATAACACTGATACATTCAGGTATTCCCAACCACTGCATGAGGAAATAGCCCTCCACAAGTACCTGAAACACAGGAACATTGTTCAGTACCTGGGCTCGGTGTCAGAGGACGGATATATCAAGATCTTCATGGAACAGGTCCCTGGAGGTACATGTGTAGTTTCTAATAGAAGAATATCAAGAACATCTTTTCTACTTTAAATTTGATTTGTTCTTCATAGTCATCATATTTCCTCTACAGGAAGTCTGTCAGCATTGTTGCGTTCAAAGTGGGGTCCTCTGAAAGAAGCCACCATAATCTTCTACACTCGGCAGATCTTGGAAGGACTTCGTTATTTGCATGAGAACCAGATTGTTCATCGGGACATCAAGGTAACTGATAAATCTTTTGGATCTATATTTGGGTGCCCTCAAAAATGTGAATGTTCATTGACCGATCATCTTTCCACAGGGAGACAATGTCTTAGTCAACACCTACAGTGGCGTGTTGAAAATCTCAGACTTCGGCACGTCCAAGAGGCTGGCTGGAGTCAATCCCTGCACAGAGACGTTCACTGGTATTTGTTTCACTTTCATTGTCTTTTGTTAGTTGCAAGATGCACCCTCCGTGTGACCCTCTCGCTGTTCCATTTGACACGTGCCGTGTGTCATCATACATCCTGGTGGTCTTTGCCAGGTCAGGATTTTAGGCTTAGTTAAAGTTCGGTCTATCATTAGCCCCACCAAACAGGATCTAAGGGAGTTTCATTCCTCCCCTTTTAGTGTGTATACCTCCTCCTACATCCAAACGCTGTCAGGATACATTTATAAAGTGTGTATTAATGCTGTATATAAGGGGTTTACAAAGAGTTTCATGGAAAAAGGTTCAGAGAAAAATAGTGTAAAAAATTTTAAATAATTAATACATTGATTAATCTTTAAATAATATAGTAAATGAAAAATTAATTAACAGTTATTTGATTAACTAATTTACAAATAAATCATTTGACATATATACACACTACTTTTCAAAAGTCTGGGGTTAGTAAGAGTTTTTAGTGTTCTTGAAAGAAGTCTCACGGCTGCAATTTTTAAAATAAAAAATAGACTAAGAACTGTAATATTGTAAATTATTATTACAATTTAAAATAACTGTTTTCTGTTTTAATATAGTTCAATTGTAATTTATTCCTGTGATGGCAAAGCTGACTTTTTAAGAAACATTCTTATTACACAGCTATTTTTAAATGTTTTTGAAAGAGTCTCTTATCGGTCACCAAGGCTGCATTTATTTGATAAAAAATACAGTAAAAAACTGTAAAAGTTATTCCTGTTATGGCAAAGCTGAATTTTCAAGAAACATTCCTATTATTATAAATGTTGGAAAACATTTGTGCTGATTAATGTTTTTTTTTTTTTAACTGTGATATATTTCTTTTTAGGATTCTTTTATGAATAGAAAGTTCAAAAGAACAGGTTTTATTGAAAATATTTTTTTTCTCTTTTTTCCTGTCAATTTTAAATAATTTAATGACTTTTTTTTGTCGTTTAAAAATATATTTTTTTAGAATATTAAAAACCCTTGCCCATATTTAAAACCCCTTGCAAATTGACTAAATTGGCCATACACTGGTGTGGACTGGTTCTCCTCTCCAAGGCTTAGATTACTTTTATTTCCTGACACAAAATAGACGGCGTTTCTTCCAGTGTGGCAAGCGATCATGAGTCCTGGTCACTGGTAACATGAGAATGTCTCCTGTGGGTGAGTAATTAGATTAGCATAGCATCTGAGACAGGAGTGTGTTTATGTTTCATTAGTGACTGCTGAAGCATCAGAGCAGGTGCGCTCATCTGTCCTCCCCCTCGCCTTTCACTGTCAACTTCACTCCTGAGCTTCTCTCCTTGATTTATTTTATTTTGTGTAACATCCTGTCACAGCACATTCTTATCTAATGAAGTTTTGCTTTTCCCCTGTAAATCCCTGTCCAGGTACGTTACAGTATATGGCCCCTGAGATCATCGATAAAGGCCCTCGAGGTTACGGGGCACCTGCTGATATCTGGTCCCTGGGCTGCACCATCATAGAGATGGCCACAGGCAAACCTCCTTTCCATGAGCTGGGAGAACCACATACAAATACAGAAGATAACCAACCAAGAAAATTATGAGATTTTTTTTATGTATAAAGAACTATGTTAATAAAAAAAAGTATTATAAATAAATAATTGTAAAAAAAAATCCTATCTTCTGAATAAAATTATGGATCATCGCAGTATTTTTTTAATATACAGGTACAATATTTTTTTATTTGTTGTAAAATATTGTATATTGTTCGTATTTTTCAATACACTGTTAAAGGGGTCATATGACATTGCTAAAAAGAACATTATTTTGTGTATTTGGTGTAATGAAATTTGTTTATG